CGTAAGCTAATTTAAATATGAATTAATAACGAATTACGAAATTAACGAACGAAACCGCCCAAGCCTACTAATAACATTCTGGTAATGATATAATTGTTAACACAGAAGGGCATCTATTCTGTAATTTTTGTTTTTAATGGATGTTGAATAACATCTTTAGGAGAAAATGCACACACATACATACCAATATAATACAATATGGTTGAGGTCCTGCACTAGGAGACACACACACACACACACACACACACATATCATGTAAGCTTCCTAATGCTACTCCTCAAACCCAATTTGCAAGTAGAACAGCTGCAGATGCATCCATCCAGCTATTTTCCTGTAACTGGATGTACTGCAAGCTTACCACCTGCAGGAACATTGCAAAGACCTCCAGAGCTCTCTGCAGATGTCTGTGGCAGTGTGTCCAGCTACAGGAAAATAACTGGATTGATCCACTTATCCCTCTACTCTCTAAAACACTAAATGGTTAATGTGTTGTCAAAGGCTTTCATGGCTGGAATCACTGGGTTCCAGTTTTCCGGGCTGTATGATCATGTTCCAGAAGCATTATCTCCTCACAATATAACTAAATGATTATATTGTGAGAAAGGTTAAACTACTTACATAGTGGGTTGGGGTTCAGAATTTGCATTTTCAGAAGAGAATTCAAATTTGCACAACCAAAGACGTGAGATGTGAGAACATGAGTCATTATGCCAGAGTAATTCACTAAGGGTGCCAGCCTATATTTTATGTATGTTAATTATGTCCCACGGGTACTAATTTTAATAGTGCCATGGCATGTTTTGCTGATTTTTGGTATTTTATACTGCCTTGAACAGATATTATAAATGATAGCATTTATGAGACCTTCTGATAAACAAACCAACAAGCAAACAAATCTCTGCAATCTAGCTTGGTAAACAAGTTGTCAGATTATATTTTATATATGTTAATTGCACCCTGTATGTACTGATTTTAATAGAGCAAAGGCATATTTTTAGCATTTTTTTTTCAATCTACCTTACTAATCGAAACTTCTAGGGCAGAGTTTCTCGAACTCTGCTCCTCCTTCAGCTCCAAGAAAACCCAGCTATCTTACCAGCTGTTAGGAATTGTGAGAGCTAAAGTCCAAAACATCTAGAGGAACACAGTTCAAGAAATTCTGATTTAGGGGGTTAAATTGTGGGCCAGGAGTCCCTGATTGTTATGGTAACCTACTGGGTGACCTTGGGCAAATCATGCAATCTCAAACTCAAAATAAGTCAATGGCGAACATTCTTTGAAAAAAATCACACCAAGAAAACCCTGTGATAGAGTCACTTTAGGGTTACCATAGCTGGAAACGGCTTGAAAGCACACAAAAACAGAGCTTGCTAACATTAGTTTACAGCAATTTGGCTCCCTTGGTTAATCCTAACATTAGGTGGAAAGCAATCTCTTAACTCCATTTGCCCAAGGAGAAAAACTTTGGCATGATTTACTGAGGATAACACTCAGTAAATACCCATATGAATGTAAATCATTCACAACTTAATTATGAACTTTGACCCCTTGAATACAATTGAATAAAATCCCATATTTTCTGCTTTGAACTGGATTATATGGCAATGTGGACTCAGATAACCCAGGGCCCTTTCACACAGTCATATAACCCAGAACATGAAGCAGAAAATCCCACAATATCTGCTTTAAATTGGGTTATCTGAGTTCACACTGCCATATATTCCGGTTCAAAACAGATAATTGGGATTATAGTCAGCTGTGTGTTCAAAGCAGATATTGTGGGTTATTCTGCCTTGAAATTCTGCATTATATGGGTGTGTGGAAGGGCTCTTGGAAAGCCAAAGTTCAACACTCAAGGCATCATATTGATTTTCAGAATATGAATTCAACCTGCACTATGTGTAACATTGTTGTCCACCCAACTTCTTAATTTCTCTTCTAGGATTTTATTCCATCTCTCCCCTTAAGTAATTATGCACATGAGATATTTTATTCTGCCAATAAGGGTAAGAATATATTATATTCTGTATTATAAAAGTGATCTCAATTAGATGAATAGGTGCTAGTGACACTTTAAAGCATATTAATGAAATGTCAAATGTAGAAATAATAGACTGACTCTCCAAATAAAGCAGCAACATTGCAAATTAACTTTTACAAGGTAATAAATGATGTCACTTACAATAACATCTGTGCAGGTTTGTTTGTACCCATAAAAACATTGAATACCCTCTGAAATATCCAGCACCATCTGCTGGTATGAAAGGAATAACAACCGGTGTCCAACCCCACATGACAATTGAGTGAACCTTTGCAAAATCAAAAGCTAGAAATGGCAGCAGTTAATATCTTTGTCATCACTGTCTGGAGGTTCTTCCACACTAGTTTATTATAGCACTATGATTCCATTTTAACTGCCATAGTTCTATTCTATTGAAGCCCAAGGTTCATAGTTTGTTAAGCTAATTGAGTTCTCTGGGTGAGAAGAAAAAATACTCTTCCTAAACTGCAAACCCCAGAATTCCTTAAAATACTGCCACAGTCAAAGTGCTGCCACTCTTCTAGTGGGCCTACCTGATCAAACTGAATTTTCAGCCTTATCACACAAGGCAATTGAAGTGTCCTAGGATGCTTCTGCCCCAATTTACCCACAGCACCCAGTTCATCCACAGTACCCATCAAATGATGTAGGATGACTTCTTGTGGGGCTCCGTGGGCAAACTGGCAGCAATTTTCTTGTTTTTTTGTGATGGTGGGTTTTTTGTGCCAATAGTTTTCTCTGTTAGTTCTCTTGGTAAATTGTAATTTGGCTTGTTGATGGATGCACATCTCTCTTCTATTGTTTATCACAGAACTTTCAAAACTCCAGATCAAAGAGAATCTGTGTTCTGAGGTAATCCATTCCATTATTCAACTACTCTGACTATGAGACAGTTCTATTATTATTCAGATAAATCGCTAACCTGAAAATGCTTTTCTTTGATTAGCACTTTTGCAAACACTGTCATTTCAAAGCACATCCAATGGGCAAGATGTTCATCAAGACTGCCAGGGAATTTTCCATTCTTCTTATTGGACATTTCTCATCACCGCACCAGTGAGGCATCTATCCTACCTTGTATTTGATGTATAAATGCCAATTCAGTACCATGGTATATTCAGGCCTTAGAGGAAGAGTTCAAAATAGGAATATACAGAAATTCTGTCGCCCCCCCCCCCTTTTTTTTCTGTTGGTATGTATCATTGCTTCTGTCTTACCATCTGAAAGGGTCCTGACAGTCAGGTCATCAGATGACACTCCAGGTCCATAACGATTATAGGCCAGAAATCGTAGTGTATATTCTGTGAATTTCTTTAGCCCTTCCAACTTGTATGATAGATCATTCACTTCTATATTCTGGACACAAAGGAAATAAAGAAGGTTACTACAACACATAATTATTATACAGATCAGAACATAACACTAAAGACTGAAATTGGTATTTCACATTTTTTTAACAGCCAAATAATGTATAAGCAGAGTCATTCATTCATAACTGGTCTCATGCACATTTCACACCATTTTCATTGGCTCATTTGCTTACCTGTTCTTTTCCAGTGGTTACTTCTGTACAGTATAGTCTATATCCTTGGACTGGACCATTTGCATAGGCAGGGGGTTCCCATGTAATAAGAATTGAGGTAGGTGAAACAGCTACAGCCCGTAGGTTTTCTACTGGTCCTGGAACTTGCACTGTATTGGGGTTTGGGGAGGAACACAAAACATAAATCGTTCAAGTTGCAGTATTATTTACTTCATAGGAGTATTTATTTATTTACTATTTATTTACTATATTTGTATACTGCCGTTCTCAGCCCTTAGGCGACTAAGTAGAGGACTAACATTTCCACCGCCATCAGAGTTCATGGTGCCTTATGGAGTTACACAGGCAGTTCCGATAGGCCCATACTCAGTAAGGACATATAATTGAAGTGATTATATGATTTGCCCTCTGGGAGATCAGGGTGCATCAATTCCTTTATAAAGAGGTTTCTTTTACTTTTTTGGCCAGAACATAACAGGTGCAATCAGTTGAAAGTTGTGGAAGCAAAGCTGAACATTCAGTGCCATTGGGAATGTGAAGTTACTCGGCATTACACATGTAGATGAGCAATGTGTATTGCAATTATATAATTCCACATACAGTTGCAGTGTTACAATGTACTACTACATATCAATCACATAGCTATGTGAGCACAAAGTGACATACTCTCCTTGATCTAGGATCTGAACCAACTCTTTTAGTATAATCTAAGTAAATACACAACTATGGAAGTAAATGCTAGGATTACCCTTAGAACCCCCATCAAAGTTTCTGGAGCAATTCAAAACTCCATAATTTTGGTGCTATTTAATATCTGTTATTCACTGTCTATTTCATCTGTAGCAGGACTGACAGACAAAGCCAGGAGTGCGTTACCAATTTTGCCTCCAGCAAAGCCTTTAAAAGCAACATGTAGAAATCAATGAAAGTCTGGCAGCCCCTTGTTATAAAAAACAATACAAATGGGTTTTAAAAGGCATTTACTATTAATACTAAGTTGTAAAATCAATACAGTTAACATGCTTCCCTCCCTTTTCAACTCCCCACACTTTCTATTTCATTACAAGATGGACAGTTGAATTAATGCTTTACTTCTCAGCATGCAGAAAGTCTTCAGCAAACCCTAGATTTCCAGTGTTTAATAACAATTTATGGCCAATTAACATTTATGGTTCGCCTTTCCTTCCCCTAAAAGGTTATTTTGCTTTGAGTGCTGGACGGGACATTTTCAAATTATATATTTGATTTTGCCAGGAATACTGAAAAAGAAATCCTGATACTTTTGAAACTTTCTCAGCTTTTTCTGGATTTTGCCCTACCATATATGCTCATGTAGAAGTCTAGACATTTTAGTCAATAAATCAACAACAACAAAGATCAACATAAGTATTGTGTTTTAACTCTTATCAAAACAGGAACCACCTCATTCTCTGAGTGACAAAAAGTAAAGGCTTAGTCTGTCCCAAAATAACCTAAAAGAAGTGATAGCCCATTCTAGTCTCTTGGCACTCCTTTGAGAGGAAGCACCAGAGAGCACACACTATCATTTTATGTCCAGATGTATTAAAAGTCCAGAAGTGCAGTGACAAAGTTCCACTGAACTGTAGGCCTTCAATAAAATATAATGCTTGTTAGACTTGCAAGTATCATTTTACAGCTATCTTTTTTCTTTGATAAAATGCAGTAGTTGCTTTCCATAGCTTGTCATTGACATGAGATGTTCTGATTTGTGATACCTTTCTTGAAAGTCTTTAAAATCTGAGTATGTGGCACACACAAAGAGAGTTATTAAAAATTCTGAAGACTGAACAGTTTTTAGTCTTTTGACATCAGCAAAAAAGATTTTGATGGCTCAAAATTGGAGGAAACCCAAGTCCTGACCTATAAATGACAGGATCGTTCCTATATGCCATACAGCAGATATCATGAACTTTCTTAGCATTAGAGAGTTCACTAGTTTCTTAGCGTTAGGAAAACTCTAAGAAAGAGACAATTTTCTTATATTTAAGAACAAATCTAGTCCACATTTTTTTTACTCCCATTTTACTAGACGTCTATGGAAAGTACACCATCACTATTACATTCTCCTCTGCTTGTTCCAACAAATAGTAATGAGAGGCATAATATGATTTGTAGTCACTGATTGCTTATCTAATATGAAAAGTTGTCACACAATGCTACATTGTCTAGTAGCAGATCTATGAACTTCAGATGTCCACCACCCCTTACTTCATTGTCAAATGCATGAATGAATAATTCCAAAGTTTTTCTCACTGTTTAATGATAGAGAGAGAGAGAAAGAGAGAGACTTTCCTGTTGTGAATATATTTAAAACTTGTTCAAAACAAGTGAGGGTTTACTTTTACAAAATATCTCATGTGGTTTGAATGTTTTATCAGCAATGTATCAAAATACCCTTTCCCGATGATTATGAGGAAAAAAAATGAGCATTCTTTACTTCTCTAATGTGAACTTTGTTAAGTAATATTTCCTTTTGTTTATCTTGGGTTTTGGTCCCTAAACTTGGATCTCCGAATATTTCTAGACTTCCAGATACCTCAGCTAACAAAGCCAACAATGAAGGTTTCTGGGAGATTCTTGAAACTAATTACAAAAGTCACTGGTTCCACATTTTTCCCTTAGCTAAGAATCAATTTTTCTCCTCTCTCAACATTCTACATTCAGTAGAGAAAATATGTCTGTATAAAACCTATGAGATAGAGAACATATGTTCTAGCACACAGCAATGAATCTTTCCTGAAACATTGTGCCGACCTTTTAAAAATTAAATATCATCTCTGTAAAGGTTTATTTTCAGAGTCAGATTCCTTCATTAATATCTCAGCTGTAAAACGATGATCACATGCCACATACAGCAATGTTGTGCTATAATAAATAATATTGATAAAAACTTTATTTGTATACTGTCCTATCTCCCTGAAGGGACTCAGGGTGGTTTCCAACACATAAGTCCAAACATTCAATTGCCAAGAAGAAAATTATACAGGCAGATTAAAAAAATCATAAAACACCAAAAATCCTGTTAAAACACAACAATAAAAATTTAAACCAATTGAATTATAACTCCATCAGATGAGGTTCAACAAAGCCTACGGCATGTCAAAACGAGCATGTCAACTATAGAAGGGCTGGGCAAGGGATAGTGTAACAGCATATCATAAGGCCGGAAAAGTGGAGAAAGTGCAGAACAGAGTACTAATTGACGACTTAGGTACTGGGCCTAGGGACTAATCTCCCTGGGGAGGGTGTTCCAAAGTCAGGGGGCCACCACTGAGAAGGCCCTCTCTCTCGCCCCCACCAGCCATATTTGTGACAGTGGTGGAAGTGAGAGGAGGGCCTCCCCAGCAGATCTTAGAGCCCATACTGGTTCATAGGGGGAGATGAGGTCACAAAGATAGGCAGTGACTGAATAGTTTAAGACTTTGTAGGTCATAATCTGCACCTTGAATTGCACCAGAAACTTATTGGCAGCCAGCGAAGCTGCTTTAATAGGGGTGTTGTGCATTCCCTATAATTAGCTTCAGTTAGTAGCTTGGGTCAAATCATTGGACTATATAGCCCTATAAGAGATGATGTATATACACCATAGAATTAATACAGTTTGACATCACTTTAACTGCCACGACTCAATGTTATGGTATCATTGGAGTTGCAGTTTTACAAAGCTTTTGGCCTTTTTTTGCCAATGAATGCTGGTGCCATTCCATACTACAAATCATGGGATTCCACAGTATTGGTCCATGAGAGTTGAAGTGGTCTCAAGCTGCATTAATTCTACAGAGTCCCTATAGAAACTGCAGTTTTATTATAAATTACAGCCAAACATTATGCTTCATCCTATGTATGTCACCCCAGGACTTGAGCTATTAACAATTTTGAAGGGAGGAAATGTAAAAAGTGAGATCAAAGGAACTGATAGTGTTTATGCTGATGGCACCTCACGAAGTTATAGCTAAAAGCTGAGTAACTACAGAACTTCTGACATTGGATTCTTGGTATACCAGTCAGGGACATACGCAGCTATATTTATCAAAGCCTTTCACAAGATTATGGGAAAGAGATGAAACATAAATTGTTATTACGAAGAATTATGTGGCAAATTTCAAAGCTGCCAGTTAATTCCTTGTAGATTTTTATCTACAATACAGAGGGAGAAATATTTTAAATATACTTCGTTTTCTCAAGAATCAGATTAACTTTGATGTTGCTGTCCCTTTTAATTTGTTTCTTATTTCTTTTCTAGTTTCCTTTTGCCCTTACTTTTGAATCCTGTAAAAATTTGCTTCCCTTTATACTTATCTAGCTACATAAGCAGTTAAACTTGCAGAAATGCACACACACACCCCACAAAAAGGGGATCAGGGGTGTAGCTATTGGGAAAGGGGACTGAAAAATGTTCCCTCACAGAATTGTTCCATATGCCTTATTTGTATGTCCTCTGTAACCCTACTAGCTTTCTTTTTCTACATAGGTTACCTGTATTTTGAAATGTTCATCTGAAGTTTTACTTGCACATTACAGCAATGCTAGAAATGTGATACTGAAGGAAAAAATAATTTAAGGGCCAGAATTCGTATTTGAAAGGTAATGTCTTCATTTCCCCCCTTTACTGCAGCTACACAGCACCAATTACTGCAAATTTCAGCATGGTTACTGAAAATAGGATCCTGTGAAATAAGGATTATAAATAATCACCTCTCTGGTTCCATATGGAGAATGGCAGGGAAGCTGTTATACCAACTAGACCTTAGTTCTTTTAGTCTGCAAATATCTAACATAAGTGTGCGTGGGCAGCAATGAGAATGGTAAACAACTTTGCACTAACAACTGTCCTGGCTGCTTTCAGCAGTTTGACGTGTTTCAATCCATTACTGGGGATGGGCTGGAACAATCTTAATACTAGATGGCTAAACCTCAGAGACTGAACACAAGTCTGAGGTTTTTATGAGTCATCTTCATATAGGAGATGAGGACACAGACTCTCAAGTTGGGGGAGGGGATTTCTTGGTACACAAAAAAAGGTTGTGTGAGCAGCAATTTACTACAATGAGTGACTCTTAACCAATTTGTTGACACAATTTGCAATGACTCTCCAGTAATCCATGTCTTTCCTTAGCTTTCTCAGTCA